GCTAACCTTATATTGCGATGATTCAAAATTGTTACAAACACAATGGTTTGACTGCAATGAATGAACGAATGACCGATCTGGCAACACCATATTCCGAGAATGTACTCCTGTGTCTTTCTAACAGATATTACAGAGCGAGCGATTTCAGACGCCCACAGTCCTGCATACCGACATGTCCCATACGATAAATAAGCTTCAACAAGAGATAGCATTCATTATATGTGAGGTCGCCACGAAGGACTTACACTGCTAAAACGCATGGTGCAGAAAATGTATTATACTGCTAGAACGCATGGTGCAGAAAATGTATGAATTTCGGGAAATTTTATTTTGGGAATCAGTGTAAAAATTTTTTACAGATATTAAAATCTGTAAATTAGAATATCTGATTCTATATTCTTTCTAGATTAAAGGAGCGTTCATTTCGTTCGTTTATCATAAAAAGTGTAGAAATCACACCATTTTTAGAAACATGCTTACAATTTCATTGCTCTAGAAGGGCGGGCATTTAAATAAACTCCGTCCAGCTGCCCCTACCGGAAATTAAATGGCCCGTCCGATAAAGGTTAAAAAGAGTAAATTCTATGGCCCTGTTTTCTTTTTCACCATGGGAAAAATGAGGGGAGACAGAGCAGATATAGTTGACAACTTGATTGATGGTGGCGTTGCAAACCATTAGGACTGCGATGGATTTGGTAGTTTGCATATTACTGGGCAAAGCAAAAGCAGTTGTCTAAAATTTCTCATAGTTCATGGCTGAAATTCAGTGTTTTAATCAAGCTCAGTTTTTTTTTTATGGTTTGATCATGAAAATACAAGACTTGGACATGTCTTAAAATAATTACTTCAAACAGTACATCAAAATTTATATCATGTTTAATGCTGCAGGTGTGGTACATTTATTATGGAAATGGCACGGAGCCACTGGTGGTTCTGTCTGTGTACGCCCTGATATTTTGTGTGTTCTGTCTGGGCTTGTCAGTTGGAGTTGTTCTTGCTGTAGGCATGCTTCTCTATTTCCAGGTAAGATACTTCGCTATACACATGTAGTGACATACTTGCCTTCTGTTGTGAGAGGAGATCTGTAGACATTTCTGTCAGAATTGATTTGGGTGCTGTCAGAAATGTGGATATGCTTGCATGCTTCATCTCTAGACATACTTTATACTTTATCAGATTTGTACAAAGTGTATTATTGTGTGCAAATTGAGAAAGCTATATACCTGAATAAGATCTATAACTTATATCTGAAATATTTGTTGATTTGTTTTGTAGTTGAAATGAATGTAAATATTTTTTTAGATTATATGATAAAGAGCTTCTGGACTTAAATTTGGGACACTTGGAGGACATTTAAAAACTACATCAGGAGGCTTGCGAGCATTTGATTTGTTCCTGCAATATAAGTATATTGTGAGAAGTACAAAGTACATGCACTTATGGAACAGAACTGTACATGTGCAGTAATCAGCAAGACCATTGTTCATAAGATCAAGATGTAATGCAAGGTTGGGGATTAGGAGAATTACAATTGTTGGACCAAAACGTTTTACTTATAATAAAAAGTATGATTGCTATGGTCAATGAAAATGAATATTGTATTGTTTTAGGAGAGTACAGAAATTTCTGTCATGTTGTACACGTACTTTGTACTTTAAAAATACCCCTGTGTATCAGAACTTAGCATAATGTCATGTTTGCAGTTGCGGTCCATTATAAGGAACCAGACAGGTATCGAGGACTGGATTGTAGAGAAAGCTCATCATCGCCGTGATCCTGGTGATCCTAAATTTGTGTATCCATATAATCTTGGCTGGATGAATAATTTGAAACAGGTGAGATAAGTGTATATGCATCTACACTATTATATAACAAAGATGTGTGAATGTCATAATGAGATATAATACAATATGTAATATTTTATATGCAACATAAAAGTAAAGTAAAGGTATCCCCTTAACAGGCCATGAAGGCCCATAGGGTTGTGAGAGGTTGAGGCTCCCACATTTTCTAGACACTCAGGTTACAGGTGGTGGTAAGGTTGTCAGCTTTACGCGCCAGCCACCCTTTTGTCCACCAGGAAGATTCCTGGTACTCATTTCTGTTAGAGGCTGAGGTGACCCCAGGGTTGTAGTGTGGCTGGAAGGATTAGGTAAATTGAGAAAATCCACCTTGTCCTGACTTGAACCTGTGACTTTCTGGCTTGTAGCATAGTGCCTCAACCACCTGCACTACCATTTACCCTTTTATATGCAAGGAACATTCAAATAACAGTGCAGATTACATTTGCTGAATTTCATTACTTGGAAGTTTTACTGTTACAGAGCTTGATATAAAAGTATATTATTGACCTTTGCACTGAACAGTTAATATTCAACTCAGTGAAAACTACTACTAAGGGCATGGTAGGTGTTGCCATCCTCTTCATAGTGTGTCAAAGTATAGCATGTACATATGAGACCATAGATAAGTTAACTATGAAAATTCAGTTCTTGAATGACTTTACATTTTTCACTCCTGAATAGCAATGCATCATTTCTTTTATTTTTGTAACATCTTTTAGTCTTCTTTATTTAATGGTGCTTTCAGTGACTGGGATTATAAATAGTGTTGAATGGTCACACGATTAGTACATAATTAATAGTAGTCATTTCCTAATTGAATGTACTGTCCCAGCATTGGCCTGAAGGGACAGAAAAGCCACAGAAAGCCCACAGTCAGGACAGCTGGTGACCACCTCTGTGGTCTAGTGGTCAGAGTTCCTTGCTACAGATCCAGAGGTCAGGGTTCGATTCCCAGCGCTACCAGATTTTCTGAGAAGTAATGAGTCTGGAACGGGGTCCACTCAGCCTCATGAGGATAATTGAGGAGATATTCCAAGGAAATAGCAGCTCCAGTCTAGAAAACCGAGATTAACAGCCATGGAGATCCGTTGCGCTTACCACGCAACACCCCCTATCCGTTAAAGTTGGCACTAGCTTTGCCAACAAGTGGCGGTCGCTCAGTCAGTATAGTTCGCTTACAAACTAAAACCTCAAGTTTGTTTCTCTTTGTAGAACAGCTGGTCTCTGGACTAAGATTTGAGCTCAAGCACCTACCCAATGTGATTGCTAATGCTTCTGTGAAGGCAGTACTTTTGGATAATTTGCTGCTGCTGTTATTGTACGATGGGGTACCCAAAAGAAACCGAATTAATTTTTTTGTGGGCAGAGCTTTTGTAGTACCGCGTTTTGCCTCTATGAGCGCATAGAGCTAACATTCCTGAGTCGATAAGCCGACTACCGTTGCTTCAGAAAGTAAGGACTAGTTTCGGCAGAGTTTATAGTGACAACTGTTTTGTGTGATCGTCGTTTTTGCAATGGCTGATTTTCGTGAACAGGGTGCGATGGTGAAATTCTGCTTTTTGCTCGGGAAAAGTGGAATAGAAACTCTTGAAATGTTAAAAACCGCGTACAAGGACGATGCTATAAGGAAAACTCAAGTGTTTGAGTGGTTTTCCCTTTTCAAAAATGGTGAAATGTCAATTGATGACAAACCTCGTTCTGGTCGTCCTTCCACGGCCCGAACACATGAAAATGTTGAAAAAATTCGTGAAATCATCAAGGAAGATCGACGACAGACCATTGAAGAAATTGTGGAGCTGTCGGGAGTGACTTGGAGCTCAGTGGCCAGATTTGTGGCAGTTGGGTGACTGGTTTTTCCATCATGACAATGCCCTTGCTCACACAGCCCTGTCTGTATGACAATTCTTGACCAAAAATGGTATGACCCCTGTTCCTCACCTTCTATGCTCACCCGACCTTGCCCCGTGCGACTTTTTTTTTGTTTCCTCGAATGAAAAGAGACATGAAAGGAAAAGACGATGGAGGCGCTGTCAAGCATCTCAAAAGATGAATTTAGACAATGTTTTGAAAAATGGAATAAAAGACTAGACAAGTGTATTAGTGTAAGTGGAGAGTACTTTGAATGGGATTGAAGGTTTGTGCTTAAAATTTGAATAAGTAAGTTTAAAAAAAAATAAGTTCTGTTTCTTTTGGGTACCCCCTCGTATATGTTAACATGATACTTTCTCTTATTACAGGTTCTAAATTGGACCTGTGATCCAGTTGGAGATGGAATCACATGGCCCGTTGCTCAGGGTTGTGACCAGTACACCCTAACTGTGAGTAGGGCCAATTTGGTCAAGGTGTGCCTGTTCCATTTAAAATGCTACACTTGGGTCACATAAAGAATGGAGATTCTTCCTCTCCTGTCTGTCTGGCAGCTTTCGCCCATATGCGTGCCTTCCCTCACTCCCTCCTGTTGGTTTGTTGTTGGTGTTGGTGGAGGGGAAATGTCCAGTGTAAGTAGCAGGGGGAGATGGTTTACTTAAAATTCCCACAACTTTTGTTCATTCTTTCCCAGACCCAAGTATAGCTTGTGTGATATTTGTTCAGATTTGTACAAATATTTAAATTTTAAATCAGATTTAATCCTGTTTTACTGTTAGAAGGAGCAGAGCCTTTTTAATTCTGCAGTGTTTTACTACATTAGGGATAGCAAAGGATATAAATACTATAAACATAAGTTATTTTGAAGAGAGTATTTTATGCTGACATCCTCAGATACATCATTATTCAAGGTCTGTTATTTTCCTGTGACCTGCATGACTTCCAGCTGTTACGGCTCAGAAGTCTCTAAAGATCATGAATTGGATACTCCACTTTTTTAATTACTGTATGTTTAGGATTCACATGGAGGATATAAAACTGATGCCAAAATAAAACAGATAATTGAACTTTTGAGACACTTGGATCCCTCAGTATAATAAACCACAAAAAAAAAGCATTAATAAAATTAATGGAAACAGGTTATTTGAAATTGTTATAGAAAATGATATACAGAGTAAGGCAATATATGAACCTCAAACACAATAACAGTAGAAATACAATGAGAAATTTCTGAATATAAAGAAATTAATAAAAATGAAAGACAAGTCTGTAATGTGTCATATTATACATCATGTATATGAACAAAATAATATAGAAATTGAGATTGACCAGACATGGAAACTTCTTAATTGGCAGAAGCTGTAACAGTACCTACCTTACCTGCCTGCCTGCCCTAGGTGAGCCTTGGCCTCCACTACAACCAGTCTCCATTGCTCTCTATTCCTCATCTTCTCTATACATCCTTTCTCTTTCTTCTTCTTCTTCCTCTTCTTCTTCTTCTTCCTCTTCTTCTTCCTCTTCTTCTTCTACTTCTTCGTCTTCTTCTTCTTCGTCTTCTTCTTCCTCTTCCTCTTCTTCCTCTTCTTCTTCCTCCTCTTCTTCTTCTTCTTCTTCTTCGTCTTCTTCTTCTTCGTCTTCTTCTTCTTCTTCGTCTTCTTCTTCTTCTTCTTCAGGTCGTTCTCAACATCGTCTAGCCATCTCATCCTGGTTCTTCCTTTTAGCGTTGTGTGTACATTCCAAGTTGCCATCACAATATCATTGTTCTCTGTGAACTGTAACAGTCCTGCTCTGCTATTTAGGGGCAACCAGATCCTTCTAACCAAATATGAAGTGATTTACATTACTGGGTATACAGTCTGAATACTATATGTGCAGAATTTTCATAAAGATACACACTGAAAAACAAAAATTATGATTTTTAGAGGGATATAACATATTAAAGGGAAAATACACAGGTGAACCAATTGTAATGACAGAACAGTTGCAATATTATTACATTGATCTCTAGTCTAATCAACAAGTTGAGTAATTCAGCATATCTCCACAAGTAACAAGATGACATGTATATGATATTAGGTTCTCATGGTGGTCAGTAAGAACATTGCAGTCATCTGGAATGGGTAGAAGAATACACTTCCCTGAAGATGTAGGCAGCAGGTTCCTCCAGAATGTCGGTACCTATCTACCAAACTACATGGCGTCGCATCCCAGAGGATCATGATCTTCAAGATGACATATCCAATAAAGCAAGGCCTTGCACATAGTTTCACTGAGGTCAAGGTTATAAGAATAGGAATGATTATACCCTACATGTAAGACTTCCCTGGTCTGTTTGTGACATGTAGTACTGTAGGTGGAACCAATGTTTCAGAGGAACCTGTATCCCCCATCTTCAAGTGGTATGCATTTTCAAGACTACATAGTGTCACAGTTTATTTTAGTCATGGGTAAACACCTCATTGCTTCCCTTACTTTCCAGTAAATCAAATAGGAACATCACATGAAATCCTCAAACCTCATCCTTTTTTCTGTTTCTATCTCGATATTTGTTGGTAATTTTAATTGACATCTGTTGTTTAGAGACCAAGGACTTTCATATTGGACAAAGGACGAATGATGTATAGTCATCATGAATTTGTAATATGTGACATGTTTTATATCTAGCCCTATAGGGTGATGATTGGATCCATGAAATGAAAATAAATGTAAATGTAAATATTTTAACACAGTTTCATGAACGTTTATTGATTAATTAATGTACATATTCTGAGTCATATATACATTTACATATTCAGAGAATTGACATGTACAGTTGCTTCCATGTCGGTGAGTTCTTATATATTTTGACAGGAGGATTCCAATATCTGCTGGATAAGATTCTCATTATGTTCTTGGAGGTTGTGAGGGAACACTTCTTTCATTTATCTTGCAAACCAAACTTTGCTTGGTCTGTTCTTAGAGATTCCTGCTCTTGTTAAAAATTTCCTGTTTGACTCAATATTCATGTCTTTATTGTACTGTAGTGCGTTAATATGTTGTTTTTTTCTTATTATTTATACAAATAAAGCGAGAACAACAGCAGCAGAAGTGTGAGAAACGTCAGCGAACTCGTATGTACACTGTTGTGGAAAATTATTCAGGGTCTTGGGTACCTATTACAAAAGGTTGGAGGGTACTTTGTCACCCTCCATTCACAGATGAGCCCCGCATACCATTGCAGAAGGGAAACACTATCTTAGTCACACGCTGGAGAAGGTTAGTATTGTAATTTCCCATACAAGTATCATTATGTAAATACATTGAAAGTTTTAGAAATTATTGTGTGTCTTCTTTTGACATTTACACATAAAAACAAAACAGGGAAGGAATTTGATGTTCACACAGAAGCAGAATGAATGGTATTATATTAATTAACAAGTAATTTTGTGACAATGGCATAGTAATACAATGATAAATTTTCTGGGCTTTTGTATACACAATGATGTTTGAGACTGGAATATGTCTTTTTCTCAAGATAAGGAACCTATTCTGATGGGTCCAATAGTGGAGTTGGTCCCTATCTCAGCAGCCTCCGTAGTCTAGAGGTAACGTTCCCACCTCATGATTCGTGGTACGCGGGTTCAAATACCCGGCGGAGATCGTCGAATTTTTAAGGGCGGAAAAATTCAGGGAACAAGTCCTCCGGGAGGGACTTTAAGCCGTGGGTCCCGTGTCGTAGCTTTACGGCACGTAAAAGAACCTCATATCTCCAAAGGAGATCACTGAACCAAATTCAAGGACGTTTCCCACCCAACAGCAGTCTCTAAGGCCTCTGATAGATGGGGGAAGCACTATAGATACTGCCAAGCCAGTTGAGAACTCGCTGGCTCGGTCGGGACTGATGGTACGCACCATTATCGGTAGGGTATAGAGACTGGTTGAATATCTGGAGAAGCTGCAAATTCTGCAGCTACCCAAGAATTTCCCAGCATTTTATGAAACCCGAATGTTCATTACCATGTTCACAAGAGCTCTCCACTGGTCCCTATCCTGAGCCAGATGTATTCAATCCATACCATCCCATCCTATCTCTCCAAGATCCATTCTAAAATTGTCCACCCACCTATGCCTTGGTCTTCCCTGTGGTCTCTTTCCTTCTGGCTTTCCCACCAATATCCTGTATGCATTCCTCGTCTCCCCCATTCGTGGTACATGCCCTACCCCCCTCATCCTCCTTGACTTGATCATTCTAATTATACTTGGAGACGAGTACAAGTTACATATAGTAACACATCAGCTACATCAAGATACGTTTCAGACGATTGCTTTGGATCTTAATAAATGAAAGTTTTTACAATTTGGAGTTTGATCTGTTTTTGAGAGCAGATGTGATTTTAGAATCAAGATGCCTGCTATGGAATCTAAATATGTAGCTTATTAATCGTGCTCCATTATATTATATTTTTGTTGATTAGTTTTAAGTGTTTTCAGTTTTCATGATTGGACATCATTCTTATGTTGCAGACACTGGTTGTTTGGAGAGAAAATCCAAAATGATGGAATCAAGAAACGGGAACGAGGCTGGTTCCCTCGTCCCTGTGCTGTAGAACTGGTAGAGGGAGCATCGTATAATGAAGAAGACAAGAAGAAGTGACAGAAATGTTGGAAATGAAGGCAAAGAAAAAAAACACATGCGAACACAAAGGAGTTGATTGAGGCTGTAGCTGTGATGCCTTGTGATGGTGTTGCTTTCCTTTATGTATTTAGTAGTGAGCTGCACTTTCTTCCTTGTTTCATTGTTTTGTGTGAATATGTATATTGGAAAATTATTGATTAGTTCCGGTGAGAATGTTTATGATATGGGCAGCAAAGCATTTTCTATGGATATGTGATATTTTTTGGGACCATTACTGACATACACATAACTCACCTACTCATGGAACTGAGCTCTTTTTGAGAAGCCACCAATTGTGCAGTTATTCAAGAACTGACATGCACATACTTTCAAAAAAAGATTTCCATGTTTTGATTGATGCTTCCTCGTGTAAGTGAATTACACACCCGAGCAATGTGAACAGAAATTGGGAAACTGCAGTACAGTTAATAATATTTTTGATGTGTTAAAATCTTTTCCTTAAATATATCAAGTCATTTATAGATTAACTCTTGATATTCAAGCACTTCCAAAATATGTTTTCATATTTTTAATGATACCTCTCACACAGAATATATTCAGTTACATGGGAAACCATCCAACTGTATAATATATACTTGGGTCATTTTGCTTGTGTAAAATGACCAGTGTCAGAATATATAGCTGGCAACATGGGCTTGAGATTTATATAGTTTGGTAACGCTACAGCTGTGAATGTATGGTATTATGGTTTGTGGTCAAATGCAGGGGCATTAATTGGGCATCATACGTACGTGATTTCTATACATATTAGATGCCGTATATAAATATCTTTGTTTATATCATGTGCAGTATTGATTGAGGGTATTATTAATTGTATCAGCCATATTGTGCAGGGAAAATAGGAAAACTGATGGAGAAGTAACAGACTTTGAACAGTATTTTGTAAGGACAAATAGAGAACTCTGGAACCTGGAAAGTCAGCAGCTTGCTCAGTGAAGAAGCGCTACATCATTAGCCCCAAGATCACTCTTCTTTCCAGAGTCCTGACATTCCCATGATAGAAATGCGGTATCTTTGCTCTGAGATTGAAAGCTGATGCTGCCCTGTTCCAAGCAGTGGAACTGGTTGTGCAGGGGTTTGATGTAAGCTTCCATGTCTGGAATGATTTGTTTAATTTTCTATGAGGCTCAACACTTTCTGCCATTCCTAAGTTGCATTCACAGGTTGCTCATCCAAGAACATTGCAACAGCATCCAGTTTATCACACTAGCAGCTTAGATCTGGTGCCCTTGTGTGCAGTTCAAGCAGTGCTGGTATGATATTGATATGTCTTGGGTTTGAATTTAGGGCTTAGACCATGACTGTATGAATTTTGAAAGTAAAAATAAAATATGACCATTGTTCTCTCTGCAAATATATACATACAGTAAAACTTCTTCACTGTTTTTTTTTCTTATAACATGTGTTTCCATTGCGTATTTATTTTTCGTGATGCGAACCTAAGTTGCATCCCTCGTACTTTTTATTATAGGCTGCAAAAGTCACCTGTTTCAGTGTGCAAGAAGAAAACATTTTGTAACCTGGGAATTACATCTTGAATTCATCACTAGTAATTTTTGATTACTGGTAATTGTCAGATTTTTACCTTGCCTTTGGTATCCAACTTATATTCATACATCTAATTTTGTACCAACAGCAATGTCAACATTGTGTTTAGTCATACTTCTAGTGCTATTCAATGTATGGTCCTGACAACAGGGCTTTGAAAAACATTCCTATTGTATTGCAGTAAGATAATTCTTATGTGGAATTGACATAGCTGCAGCTATGTAGAGACTCTTTACTTCTCCAGCTGACTATGATACCTGGCAATGTAGCTGTGTTGGTGAAATTTATGTATGGCAAATGTTTCCAATAATGGCCTTTCTCTGCTCATTCACTGAAGTGACAGAATCCATTTCCAAGGTGAAAGCAGCTATGAGACGAATGCTATAGTGATATGTACAAATTCTGTATAAAGCTGTCTTGTGATTTTGAAAATTACAAATATTTCAGTGGTTTAAATCTTTGACATCTTTTAGGCGCTGGATATCTATTTAGTCAAAATTTTGAATGATTGGTCAGTAGTTTGTATGAGTATTAATTTGTAAGTTACATTCTCCCTATACATGGTGTCCCAGGAGGAAACGTCAATATTCTGGGAGGTCATAGTATCTGTCATTCTGAGCAAAAAGTATATACGTGCATGTGTCCTATTCCGAACAGTTTCCTAGATAGAGCTCTTTCACAGTACAGTTCCAAAACTGTTGACAAGAGATATTATATACTGTTTCTAATACTGGTATTTATTGTTCTAATGGTGAAGTTGGCACAGTTTACCTAGTGCAATACATTTTTTAAAATTCCACAGTCAACATCAGTGCACTTTGCAGCTCGTGTGAGGACATGGTGTGTTGTTAACAAGGAAGGAAGTGTGTTTGCCAAATAAATTCTGAGAACTGAATTACAAAACAAAAAGTCAGGTAAATTTTCAGAGTTAGGACTAGAAAAATGAAGTGCAAATTTTGGAGAATGTCAGTTTGTTTATGTTGCTTAAAATGGATGTCAGGCTTCAAAAATTTAAAATGACAGTATCACATGTTAATTGACTAGAGATGGTACTGTAGGTTGTAAATTTGATTTATTTGATTTACAGTTACAAACTGTAACTACAATTAATTATAACCATTTCACTAATTTACGCAGTCCACAGTTTGCTATCACACGCACCAAGTCTTCTCAGTCTACTGTGTCTTCACTAGGCATTGCTTGGTAACAGCTTCCAATGGCATAGATTCCTTAGCTTTCGTGTTCACATCCTTACCGGCTACCATCTGTCTCATAGCTCCAACGCCTCGCCATCAACTCCATGCCACAACCAGCTACCACTGGCTAGCACTTATTTCTGACTTGTCTAACTTAAAGCCCCAATTGGCTCTCCTTATAGCCTCCATACAGACTATACAGGAAACACTACTTCCATTAGCTCTCTCATTGCATGTACTATATACCATATGGCCAAAAAGTATCCAAATTTATTTTTTCTGCTGTACATAATGGCCAAAGGGGTGGGGAAACTGAGCGTAGTGGTAGAAGGGACTTTCGTGTGGCTGCCAGATAGCGAAGTGGTGTAACACGTGTTTGTCGCATTCTTGTTTCGCTCAAGATGGCAGAACGCTTGGAGCAGCGATACTGCATTAAGTTTTGTCAGAAACTTGGGGATAGCCAAGCGGAAACAATTCACAAAGTTCAGTAAGCTTTCGGCGATGATGCAATGGGGGTCACTCAAATTAAAGAGTGGTTCAGCCACTGTAAATACGGCCGTATGTCAGCAGACAGTGAGCAGTGTTCCGGGAGACCATCAATGCTGATGTCATTAAAAAAGTGCGGACACTGATCATGGAGGACCGTCGTTTGGCCATCCATGAAGTTGCTGATGAGGTGGGGATCAGCAGATGTTCCACAAACACAATTTTAACTGAGGATTTGGGCATGCGAAGAGTGGCGGCAAAATTTGTGCCCAAGCTGCTTTCGCCAGAGCAGCAACAACTCTGTTTTGAGGTCACGCAGGTCATGCTAGAGTGCGCCTACAGGGGTGACGAGTTGTGGGTGTATGGATATGACCTGGAAACCAAGGTCCAGGCATCACAATGGAAGCATGAGGCCCAAAAGAGCACGACAGGTTCGGAGAAATGTGAAGGTGATACTGACTGTTTTTTTTTCGATTACCGGCGTGTTCTGCATCATGAGTACACACCACTAGGCCAGACTGTCAATAAGGAGTACTACCAAGAAGTCCTCTGCCATCTTCGTGATGCAGTTTGGCGCAAGAGACTGGAGCTGTGGGATGCACACAGCTGGCAGCTGCATCATGACAATGCCCCCACTCATTCATCACACCTGATCCAGAGTTTCCTGGCCAAGCATGGCATTCCGCAGCTTCGCCAGGCTCCCTGTTCTCGTGACATGTCTCCTTGTGTTTTCTGGCTGTTCCCGATATTGAAGACACAGCTAAAAAGCTGCCGTTTTGACAGCTGCGAGGACATCATACAGAATGCCACGGCACAGCTGCACGCCATTCAAAAAGAACCCTTCCAGAATTGCTTCCAGCGATGGAAGGACCGCTGGGCTAAGTGTGTGGAGTCACAAGGGGCCTACTTTGAAGGGGATTAGGTATTGTAACCACCCAGATACAGAACTGTGTTTTCCCAGCCCAAGGTCAGATACTTTTTGGACAGAGTAGTATATTACTGCAGTCATGTGAGTTGGTTGCTATGGAAATGTGTTTACAGAGCCATTCTCTGGTTCTGCTATTCCTGCTTTCAGCAGACATGTCATAAAAGATTCATTTTGCAATTTGGCATTTTTATTTAGTATCATAGAAGGGTGGTAGTCTTAGTCGTCCAGATTTATTGTGATGATATAGACAATGATTTTATAACCTGTACTCGTACATATTTCTTGTAGCAGCTCAATTCAATTTTTTTTTTAATTTTAATTTATTCTGTTGATCCATACTGGTACAACCATTGGATATAGTAAAGTAAAAAATACAAGACAGTACAATTATATTGGGAAAGGGGCCCTTAGCTGTCAAGTTCAGATAATGTTTATAATTATTGTTATTATCAGTATTTAAAGTAATTTGAGTATATTTTTTTAGTAATGTTATCAGCAATATTTAAAAAATGATTTTTAAAAATACTTGGATTTATTTTCTCAATTTTACAGTTTTTGTCCTTCAGGCGGTTTTTACCTAACTAATAATAATAATATTCCAAGTAGTTTTAATAGTGTTATTGGAGTTGGTAATTTTATCATTATAATTGAGTCTTCTTGCCTCATCGATCACCTTTTTTTTTTTTATTGCTAGTGGGGTGGGACTAAGTCCCTTGTACTGTGATCATTTCTGGCCTATTGTACCAGGCCCAGATGATAGGTGAGGGTGATGGTGGAGCAATTGGTGAAATGAAGATTGACAGGGGAAACTGAAGTACTCGGAGAAAACCTGCCCCAGCGTCACTTCGTCCACCACAAATGCCACTTGACCAGACCCGGGACTATTAATCACCTTAGTCAGGATCTCTATATGATTTATAATGAAGTAAAAGTAAAGCTATCCCTGTAACAGGCCAGGCCTTGAAGGCCTATAGGGTTGTGAGACGTTGAGGGTCCCACATTACCTAGACAGTCGGCTCAAAGATGGCGGTAAGGTTGTCAGCCTTACTTGCCAGCCGCGCTTTACTACCCATGAGAATTATTTATAGTATTGCTTTAAATTGGTGTTATCAAGTATCTTTGTTAAAAGGTACAGTTCTTTTTTTCCTTTTGCAAGAAGTTTTAATTCCGATGGTTAACCATTGTTTAGGGGGAGATTGCTCATAGATTTATTTTTTGGAAAACAAGCATAAAGTATTTGCAAATATGTATTTGCGAAGGTGTTAAACATGTTGTCTATATTGTTATCCTCTGTATTAAACACATTTTCCCATATCTCATAGCTTAATCTAAGTTTAAATTCATCTAGTGAGAATTTATTAAATATCCGTATAGTTTTCTGGTTTGGGTTACCACTTCCACAATAGAACTCTTGTTGATGTAAAGACAATAATTGCCCATCATGATCAGATAAACCATTAAATACTGGAAGAATAATATAATTTTCAAATTTAGTTATATCTATAAAGATATTGTCCAGTAATGTTTGAGTTGTAGTGCTAATCCTAGTTGGGAAATGAACCACACTATATAAATTGAAAGACTGCAGCATGTAGTTCAATTGTTGCTTCTTATTATTGTCTACAAGATAATTTATCCTAAAGTCACTGCAAACTAGCATCTGTAAGTTTGGTTTATAAATTGTTTTGATAAGTTTCTAATTGGGTAATGAATAAAGGAAAATTACTGGACAGAGACCTATAATAGATAAAATACAAAATTTACTAGATAAAAATTTGCATTTTACAGCACATGCCTCCATGGCTTTGTCTATACATAATTATCTGATATTAATAGCTTCAAAATCCAGTGAGTTATGTACATATATACAAATGCCTCCCATAATGAAAGACTCCCTATAATAACAAGTTCCTAAATTATAATTAGTTATAGTCAGATTTTCAATTTGTGAATAATTTAAATGATGTTCTGTAAAGCAGAGTATTTGCAGAAATTCTGGATATAGGAGAGTGTAATTTTCACTGGTCTTATTTAACAGGCCACGAATATTTTGATGGTAAATTTTAAAACCATTATTATTAAAATTTTCCTTATTAATATTACAATTGTTTTTGTTTAGTTTTAAGGCATTAAAATGGTTTGCCTCTTTCCTAGTTTCAGACATCACCATAAAAAATCACCATCTTGTGTTAAGTAGAGATTTTTTTTAATCTACTTG